ACAAAGTAGACCCAAGTTGTTGTCAAAACCTCTGGTTTATAAATGTGGAATATTGTGCTTGTGTACCCATAATTCAAAAAGCCAGGAAATGGCCCGATATTACTGCACAATATTGTGCCTGCATTGCCAGCAGGAAAAAGAATGCCAGGCTTTACATAGCAAAAGGCAGCCTGGACATTGACAAAACCAATGGCAGCAGTCAAGATGGTCTACAGCCAGGGTCCCCAATCCCCAATCTGCAACCTGGTACTGGTCCATGGCCTTGTCAGGACCAGACCATGGAGACAGATCTCCCACCCACCCATGCACATATGCCCCCATGCACACACACATGGACACCCCCACATGCATGCATGGGTGCTCCACCCACCTACACATACGTGCATGGGTGCCCCACCCACCTGTGCATGCATTCACAGGGGGGCCTAGCCACCCATGCATGGACCCTGCCCCCCCCAACTAGTCCGCAGTTTGGAAAAGGTTGGGGACCACTCACCACTTTTTGAAAAGTTGTGATCAGAAGAGGGTATCCTGTAGACCATCTTGACTGTTGCCATTGGTGTTTTCAACATTCAGGCTGCCCTTTGCTATATAAAGCTTGGCGTCCTTTTTCCTGCAGACAATGCAGGCATGATATTGTGCAGCAATATTGGGGGATTTCCTGGATTTTTGAACCATGGGTACAATATCCCACATTCATAAACCAGAGGTTTTTTGAAAAATTTAATTTCCTGGCTTTTTAAAATGGGAGTTTTAATAAAATACACTACACACAAATTCCAATAGAAACTTCCCTCGTATAGTAGTAGAGGATGAGCACGTGATCCGTTCTTTGGTTACTGGGAGAAAACAGAAGCAAGAACAGCTTGGATGTGGCTATAGTCCCTCTGTGCCAAAATATTTTGAAGTGCTGTTTTGGACTTAATGTAATGGTGAAATAAAGGTCTTAGTAGGTACAACATGTCTAATGGAGAAACATGCACACCCAGTAACGTCTTTGATAAATTAATGTTGCCATGCCCATTCTGTGGAATGCAGACTGGAAAGCTGTGTTCTAATTTCCAAACTCTTTTCTTGAATTAGGCAAGCTGAGAAGAAAAGCTATATTGGACCAAAACCTCTACAAACGTTGTGTGCATGTTTTCCAAAAGCTGTTCCTTTGCTTTTTGAAATAAAAAAGGAGAGAGGCTGGAGTGAGCAAAGACTGCAAGATCTGAGCAGAACTTACTGGAAAAGACAATGTGGCTAGAAAGGGACAGGAGTAAGACGAGAGAACAACCTAATATGAGATACTGTATTGTTGGTTTGCAAGATCTGAGCAGAGCTGTTAATGATAGGGCATTTTGGAAGTCAGTAGCTCATATGGTAACCAGGATGATTTAATGCATATATACACAGAACTACATTAAGTGGTACATAAGTACGCATCAGATTTCAGCATTTATTTAACACAATCATTTCTGGTGTAACAACAGCAGTATACCATCTGTGATATACCATCTCCTACTGCCAACAGTGCAGCAACACGCCTGTTCCTTGGAATCAGTGGTCTTGCCTGCATTGGCGAAGTCAACAAAGAGGAATTTGCTCATTTATGTGTTTTGGTGTCCATCTTTTAATGTAAGAATGCTCAGAGACACAGAAAAACATGCAATAGTATGAGCATAATAGAATTGAGTGGCTTCTTGTTATTTGCAGGCTGTAATAGCAAGAAAGACTTCTATATTCAGGACATAATAAGTACTTAGAAAAGTTCTGATCCTCACCAAAGAGGTATTGGCACTGAAAAAATTGACTGCCACAAGATTCTTCACTACTGCAGAAGAATGAAAAGACCAACCCTTTTTGTCATCAGCATCAACATTAACACATGCATGCCAGAAAACGTTGTGCCTTTTGCTCAAACAGTTTGTTTCTGCATAGACTACAAGACTTTCTGTGCTTATTACAAGATTCTCTAAACAAAAAAGTGACAATATGCACTAATCTTGCTAAGTAGAGAGAAGACTTTTCATTTTGCATTGTGAGAATGAAATAAGGGGAAATTTGTATTCCTAATATAGAGCTCTGTTTCTTATTAGACATAAAATGTTCTTATACTGCAGTTGCAGTTTTTCCTACTGTTCGCTTATCAATCTAAGCTTCTCTAACCTATGTTTACAATAACACAGAGGTGAAATTTTCATATAATTTCATTTAACACTGAATGCTCCTTGGGATCTAAAGATTTTCTTCTTAAACCTTGTAATGACTTAGCTTGTTTCCTGAAATTAAATTTCAAACAAAAGTAGGGCTCACACAGTAGAACGACAGTGTGGAGGCAAAGCCTTTTATCTCTACAGTGTGTCAGTGCATTTGTCTTCACATACATATTATACCAAGCATTATATAATTACTATGATCAAGGTTGATGTTAATAAGATAATTTAATGAGCATTCAGTGCTGTGCTCTTGGGCATTGGGAGAAAAAAAAAGTCAGTTCTAGCCTTCTGTCTTTTACTTCATGCTGCAAAGATGGTTAGTTGCTGTGAAAAATCTTATCTGAATAAGAAGGAATAATGACAAGGTGTAAATTCAGATGAATTATGCAGTCAAATGTGCAATGTGTAACATTTGTAATCATTAATGCACTATGGTTAGCTCTGTATTTGTTTCACCAATTTCTGCAAGTTAGAAATACTTCTGAGTATTAGGAAAACAGTACAGTATTACGTATGTTGCATGTTGAATCTCAAAGATTAGCCTAAACCAGAACAATCTTGTTATTGAAGTGGTTAGTTTGAGAAATTGTGGTTAGAGGGCTGTTCTAGATGACAAATGTATCTCTAAATTGCTTCAAGTGTGTAGTCTCATTTTTAAAACGTGTACTATAGTTAATCACCAACATTTTTGATAATATATTGCTTATATAGGTATATATAATACACACATAGATGGGTGAGCTGAGGTACTTGGTTTTTCATTTCCATAAGTAGTGTAGAGGAATGGGAAACAACACATTACTTTAATTAACTGGCATAGGTTTTGTAGATAAATGATATAGTTGAATTGATTACTGTATCAGTACAGTGGTGTGCAGATTGCACAAACAGACTATGAGGTTGCACAGCAGAAGCAAATGGCTGCTGTTGCTGACCAAGGTGACTAGATACCTGTTAATGGTTCTTTAGAGAGCAAGTGCAATAATCTGGGTACACTTTCAATATATTTAATTTTTATTTTATTTAAAAAATTTCTACCCCATCTTTCTCCTTAAAAAGGACCCAAGGTGACTTACATTATTCAAAGATCTTAGCACCCAAGCAGGTTAATAAAGGGAGCCACGGTCCTTGAGATAGCTTGGGCTGAAGCCATTTAGGGCTTCATAGATTACAACTAGTACTTGGAATTGTGCCTGGAAACGGATTGGCAGCCAGTGAATTTTGGAATTTTGGATAGTATGATTCCTGTGACCAGTCTCCAGTTAACAATCTGGCTGCTCCATTTTGGACTTGCTGGAATTTTGGAGCACATTCCAGAGGCAGCCCTACATAGGGCACATTACAATAATCCAGCTGGGATGTAACTAAGGCATGTGTCACCTTGGCCAGATGAGACCTCTCGAAAAATGGACGCAACTGGCACACTAGTTTTAATTGCGCAGCAGCACTCCTGACCACTCCCAAAACCTGGGCACTGGAGATCCAGATGAATCCCAAGCTGCGTACCTGTGCTTTTAGAGAGAGTGAGACCCCAGTTTGGAAACAATGATATACAAGTAACATATTAGAAAGTAAATAGTTACTTTTGGCAATAATGATAATCACAAATTACATTCCTTTTTTGCATAGAAGAAAAACATTGTTTTCTTATGAGAACAGGATATTCCTACTTTACTTGGGTTGCACCAAGAACTACTATTTCTATCCTTCCTTCTTTCTCTGTTCTTTTTTTAAGCCTAAACATCTGCTTTTCCTTTTTTTCAAACTGAAAGTCCAGTTGTGCAGTTCCCTGTTCTTAGTGCAGCAAGGTAAAACCTGGTACTTCTTGAAAGTACTAATGACAGCAGACCCAGGAAAGTCTCTCTGCATTTACATGTGCAGAGGAGGGAATTCTATTCTAGAACAGAATTCTGAAATTGAGGAATTGGCATAGAAGAGTTCAATAATTGTAGATTAGAAAAATTCAGTCTTTCTAGATTTTTGTTCTAGAATCTAGAGCACTGTATATCAAAGCTGTAAGATTCCTGACACATTCAAATGATACAGATCTAGGGTGCTCCTGGAAACATCTTCTGTGATCCTGGGAACATCCAGGAGTCTTCTGTGAAAGAAGGCCATGTCATGCCAACATCAGCAACAATATACTTTCATGTTCGCAAAGATGGATGAGCTTCCCATTGCATGCATCAAAACAACATTTATTGAGGAACTCTTGGTGATTCAATCCAAAGAAGTAAATTTTTCGATCTATGATTCCGATGAAGGGGTCTGAATAGTTTTGTTTTGCCTGTGGGCCAGACGTTCTTCCCCCCTTAAGTCAACGTTAAGTCCAGACTTGGGGGCTCTGTATTGTTGTTTGTTTGGTTTTTTGTGTTTTGTTTTGTTTTGTTTTTTTTGCTGTAGATCTAATGGTGTTTGGCCAGTGTGTTTTGTTTTGTTTTGTTTTTTTGCTGTAGATCTAATGGTGTTTGCCCAGCCATTTTCAAGGCTTACTCTGTGATGTCCTTCCAAATTCTGATCCAAGAAAATATACAGGAATGCCATATTTAATTTGGAGACATAGAAACACTGGAGCAAAATAAATGGTTGCATTGTAGAACTTGGAAAAATGCTTTCAAAGCTTTAACACCTAAATTAGTTAACTTCTGTCATGTGTATCCATTGTCATTCTGAGCATGTCATTTTCTTTGAAAGGCAGTAATAATTCTTTTCCCTGTAAACTGTGAAGTCTTTATAGAACATGCAGGTTAATGGATTCACTGAGCTGCTATTGATTTTCCCCTTTTCTCACTATTCTAGATGCTGAAGAATATCAGCCTCCAATATGGAAATCATACTGTGAGTATCATATTGCAACTCAGGGATGGGAGGAGGGCATGGGACCTTATCTGGGAATGAAGCTCCTAGATATCAGAAAGTCATCAAGCATGATCCGGAAGACCAAGTGGAGATAAAGCAAGCAGAACTTCTAAGAGCAGAAATTGTGACTGTGAAAGGATGAGGCAAACAAGGATATAAAGAGCTTGTGTTGAAAGTAAAACTTTTTAAATATTCCTACCTTTGAAGTAGACACATATAACAGTGCACTACACATGGCTGCTGGGATTCCTTCTTGCTTTTTGCCTTCTAGCCCCTAAAAGAGATGGGATAACATTTCTAACTCATTGACAGTACTGTACACAAAAATGAGGAGCACAGGAATGGAACCTAAGGCTATATCTAGGAATACTGTATAATGATTGGCATAAAGTACAGTATAATATCTGAGATGCAAAGAGAAAGATTTCATACAAGGGCAGATCCTTGTATGATTCCAAGGGCAGCTTGTAAAAACTAAGTTTAGTTTTTCCTCCTATCACATCTTTTAAATGTTATGGACTAGAAAAATTACATACTGCATATAGTTTCTGAAATGTACTGTACAGAAACTTTACACCAATCAGATGTTTAGAATTTAAAAGATTTTCTTCTTCATATGCCTGATTTGTTTTACCATTTTTATTCTTGCACAGCTAAATCTGCAGTGAGTTAGTTGATGAAAGCACTGCCTTAAACTTTGATTGCAGTTCTTAGACCTTTTATTTGAGACAGGTCCCATTGATTAGATTGTAGCTTTTGTTTCTGGCAGGCTGTCTTTTAAGTTTCTGAAGGTATATTGAATAAGTTGTCAGTCATCTCTTCAGTGCTGAAGAAAGCAGCCTATATTTTGAATATTTAAAATGAAGAAATCTGAAGTACAGGAGTATGCTTTGGTGGTTTTCAGTGATTTTCATAGTCTGTGCCTGTCAACATTAGAAGCAGGTTGGTGCACAGTTTAGAGGCCAGCTTGGTAGTTTGGGAAGGACTCTGGTATGGTCTGTGGCAATTCAGCCTATTTCAGTTAGTAATTGTATCAGATTTAATTTGTAAATTCAGATTGCCAGTACTTCCATTGACTTTCAGTGGAAAAACAAAATGGTTGTAACTTTTTTCTTTTCTTTTTCTTTTTCTTTTCTTTTCTTTCTTTCTTTCTTTTTCTTTTTTCTTTTTTCTTTTTTCTTTTTCTTTCTTTCTTTCTTTCTTTCTTTTCTTTTCTTTTCTTTTTTTTGCATTCTGATGCACATGATATTTGGAGTTCTGATAGAACTTAAATTGGGAAGTAAATGTGCCAGATTATCGACAGACTGCTTCAGAGGTTTTCTTATGGGAAGACATTCAAATCTTGGTCAGTGACTGATGTGAAACTCTGAACTCACATTGCTTATTACACCTGTCACGGTATAAAGCCCAGCTCCACCTCTTCCCACTCAGTTGCTCATTCACATAATCTGTTTCCATAGTCCCCACCCCCACAGTCTGTTTTCTGTTTTAGAGATTTGAATCACTGAATGGGTCCCAAATGCCTTTTCGTTGCCCTGGAATCAAATCTGTCCATTCTTTTCCCATCCTGATACCATCCAGATTGGCCCAGATCAGAATTATGTGATTTGGAATTCTGGATTTGGCTGAAGCCAATAGACATCTTTAATTAAAAGCCACTATATATGCCCTTAATGTATCAATATTTCAAACAAAACAACAAATACGCTGTTTTTGCTCCCCCCTTCTTTTGGGTGACTTGTTTGTTAGTTAATATGTCTTTCACACAACACACTATTCTTCACAAATCCACCTGTATGTAATTTGCTGTTAGAAGATGTGGTGATGGCCACCACTGTAGGTGACTTTAAAAGAAGATTCATAATATTTGTAGTAGAGAGGTGGAGATAACGAGGGTCTGGCCCCATTCATGATTCTGGGACGACAAGCCTGTCTGTAGGTTGAAGAGTGGCTCACAGATCACAGTCTCCAGAATCATTGGAAGGCTCCGCTGCAGTCACGGCAGCTCTTTAATCGTGAGTGGACCGTCCAGCCCCATGGGGCCGGACCCTCATTATCTCCACCTGTGGGGAGATACTTGTATTTGTATACGAATACCCCCATCTCTAGTTTGTAATTATCAATGGCTACTAGTATTCATAGCCATATATTATGCACTAACAAGTGTTCTGTGCTTTGTCCAGATTAGAAACCTAATAGTCCCATCCTTGCACCAATGTGTTATGGGACAACATCACCTAAGCCCATTGTTACACAAAAGACATTTTTATCTCATAAAATTAAAGAAAGATAGTGGGCAGAAGATAAACTATTTCATTTGTAGGCAGAAGGAAGGAGTCTCTTGGTTGCAGTTTATATGGCATACCTAACTGAAGCGTCCACCAGATACCCAAGTTCATGTAGTACTAAAAGCTAATAATTATAAATGTGCCAAAGTGGGACTTTAAGGAAATCAATTTCAAGACATAAACAATCCATTTACTTAGAATGGTCAGTCAATGGAAAACATAATATTTTTTAGTTTCTATCCTTTTATTTTTTGTCCTTCTAGGACAAATGAACATGCAGTTTTTAAAATATTACCTCTCAATATCCCAGTTTATTGTTCTATTCATGGGCATTTGGCCATCAGAAAAGGCAGCTGGGCTAAATAGACAGTTCAGCTGATCCAGGATGGCTGTTTTTATATTGACATCTCAAACATGGAATTTTGGGCTGGAGAGCTGATTAGGTTGTAAATCATGAGAAATCTAGGTGATCTTCCTTGACAGGCAGTCAGAAGAAAACCCACTGAGTTTTGCCTTGTTTTGACATAGTCAATAGAACTGGCCACAAAGGTTCAGTATTTAGTAACCTGTTCAGTATTTATGCACGTGCAGACCTCCCATTGCAACATGAGGTGCTACTCATGCATAGTCAGGTACACAAATGGCGACTCATGGAATCTGGCAACTTCAACAGTTGGATTCTACATGTGTAAATGTGAACAAGATACTGACCAAATAATTAGAGAGACTCACCATTAAAATGAAGAAATCCAAAGTACAGTAATATGCATTGTTGGTTTCGGAAGACTCACCATTCAACATTTTTCAGTGGCACAAAAGGCCAATATGATTTCATTCATCTGAATTTACAAACCCTAGAAATGACTGAAATGCATACATCTCATTTTGGAATAATTATTGTCAAACATTCTTGAAGAATTCTTGGAAATCACAATTAAAGATGGTAAATCATCACCAGCCCCCAATATGGAATAGACTTCTTCTTTCTGTGGTTTTCTGAAGCATTTGTATTGAGCTTTTACCCCTGGTTTCCTGTTAACCTACCATTGTGAACAGCATGCCCTGGCCCATTTCCTCCTTGCCCCCATGTGATTATGGTCACTTCTTCCATTTCCTTTAAACCATGTGCCAGAAGGAGCACCAGATGTAGGGTGGGAAGGGGAAGAGCATCCCTCAAAACTTTATGAATTCTCCAGATGAATACCTACATAATCCAGGCTGCAAGATTTGTCATAAGTGTAGTTTGCCAAAGCATCAAATTCTTTGTAAACATACATAGGTAACGTACAGTTTCCAGAGTTGTGTAAACAGGAAGCTTTCTCTTCATTATTCATTTATTTTTTGCATTTGTATCCCACATTTTCTCAAATGTATTCAAGACAATGTATTCGTGAAGGCTTTCATGGCCGGGATCTAATGGTTGTTGTGGGTTTTTTGGGCTCTTTGGCCGTGTTCTGAAGGAACACGGCCAAAGACCATTCAGAACACGGCCAAAGAGCCCGAAAAACCCACAACAACCAAACTCAAGACAGCTTACTACTGAAACTAACCTGAAGGAAAGAGATGGAGGTATGATATCTATATTACAATACTTCTTTATTTTTTTATTTTTTTCCCTAAGCCTGCATGTCCTGTGAAGGAATAACTGAAATAAATAAGGTGTTCAGATAAGAATTTTACAGAGAATGGAAAAATAGTATTGTTTCCATAGTATAGTATAGAATAGTATTATTCTTCAGGGTAAAGCTGTTTTAAGATTTGTATCCCATTATGGTCTCTAAACAAGCTGGTTCCTGAAGGATTTTGGAGCAGTTCAAGCTGTGTCTTGGGAAAATTCCCAGAAGCATGACTTAGATGTATTGCAAGAGTTACTCATATATTGTACATAGCATTCATTGGATATTGCCCATGACAAGTACTTTTTAAAAGGAAGGTTAAAGTATCTGAAAAGATTGATACATGTCCACATATGTGCAGATGGACTTTTTAAAGAGAAAGTTTCCCCTGGAGAGGAAAATAAATACACCCGAAACTGCAATCTGGTTTGATTATTTATAACATGCCTTGGATTTTCTATTTATTGTATATTGTATAGTAAGTTGCATCCTTATCGGGCCCTTTATATTCTTTAGAATCATCATTAGAGATGGGCATGAATTGGGGGGAAAATGGCAATTCACCACGATTCATAATCCATCAAGGTCAACGAATTGTGAATTTACATTTTTTTGACGAATTGATGAATCAATTTGTCAATTCATCTTTATTTAAAACCTTATAAAATGCCCCCCCCAGACACCTAAAGACAGCAAAATTGCAGATACGCTTCCCCTAACTCTCTTCTACAAGCCCTGTATGTTTTTTGAAGATTGAGTATACAGACAATGTGCCCTGCCCTGGGAAAGTGTCCTTTAGCAGCTGGCTTGTAGCAGTGCTGAAATTTCCCCCAAGCCAGATACTAAAGGGTACTTTCCGGGGGGGGGGCTTTTATGTTGTTTAAAAGTATAATGAAACATCACTTTAAACCTATTGACATCAGACCCCGTGAGCCAAGGGGCAAAATTACATTTTCTCCAGAAGTGGTGTCATTCATAGACCAAAGCCAGAGTGAGGCAATGCTCCCACTTCAGAAGCAAATATCTATCCTGGTTCTTTCTTTAACTTGTATCTGTATGAATTCTAAATATGTCACTAAATAATTCCACCTTCAATCCAATCTCTTCCCTTCATCTGAAATAATCTGAAGCATTTTTTCTTAAACATATAGAAATAGGTGTTAGTATTAACTGCAGCCTTCTAATTATGGGTTTTTTTATGTTTGACAGTATATCAGTTACAGCAGGAAGCACCTCGCCCCAAGAGGATAATTTGTCCTCGAGAGGTCAGTCCAATTTTATCTACATCTAGTTAAACTGAATGTATTGTCATCGACTTGTTGATAATATTGGTCTTCACATTTTCATGTGTGCTGATGTTGGTATATATTTTATCATCCACAAACTGCATTCAAAACTATTTTCTTAAATGTAAGGTGAACATTTAAATCAACATGTGTAATGAACCAGTATGTAATTATAAGCTTTTGGTTACTGATATAATTAAAGTATTTTAATACTGTGCTAATAATGTCTTTGTCTTTATTGGCATATTCTTTTTTTCTTCTTCTCTGGCATATATCATGTGTGATTTGTTTCCAGAAAATGCAACGCTGTTCCTCTGGTTCTCTCAGATTCCATTTTTCATATGAAAAGATTAATTTTGACAAATCATTCAAATTACTATTTATAAAGTGTGGTGTTAGTTGCATGCAGAGACACTTTCTATGAAACACAATGGTTTAAGCTGCATTTGTTGTTATATGTTGCCAAGTCAGAACTGACTTAGACTGAACCCAAAGTAAGTGAGGCATTTAAGGAGTCATTTTACCAGCTCCCTCTCCATCCATGAATTTCCATGGCAAAGCTGTGGAATCAAAGCATGGATGAGCAGTTGCCTCAGGAGACAAGCAAAGGAGGGAAGATGTGGGACACAATCTTTTATTTTTCATTTTGAATGCATGGATCACCTGAATCCAAACAATATAATTTTTAAAGGGACAAATGCACCAAAATATGATTGAATTATATTAGATAGCCAAGGCTCCATCCTTCAATTATATAAACAAAAATTATTTTTCTCATTGTTCAGAATGATGAAGTGGAATGTTGTGTATTACTTTTGGAAGAAATTATTTTTTTTCCTGAAAGTTTCATTTTTATAATAGTTTGCTCTACATGCAGCTTCTGGATTTGGCACAATGTTAGAGCAGTGCTGGAAGTCTCACTGTGTTGTAGATTTCGGAAATTGCTGACCATTGCTGAACAAAAGCCCTGTTGGCCACAATGAGACATTTGCTTGAAATGTCCCTAGTGAGTACAAAACATGTATTTCCTAAATGGTACTGTTAGGAATAGAAATAGGCAAACAAAATGCTTTCATCATTATTTCTAGATCTAATTACATGTGGCTTTAAAATAAAACCTTTTACTACAGATAGATAAATAAATAAATAAATAAAATACTTTAATCATTATTTCTAGATCTAATTATATGTGGCCTTAAAATAAAACCTGTTACCACAGATAATAAATGTGTATTGCAGTGCATTTTGCCATCATCTGCTGTAGCTTTTTATGAAAGTTAAAATGGACCAATGAATTAGCCTATTTATTCTATATTTCACTTGGAGGCAACAGGCACCCATCTCCAAAGTCTAAATGAGTACAAGCAGTAATTCAATTCAAAGGCTCTAACTTCTTAGAGAAGTACCTGTGCTAGTCTATTTCAGCACAAATAACAAAAACAAAAGTATTGTGACCCATTTAAGAGAACAGCTTTATTTCAGCGTTGGCTTGAATTTGTTACAAATGGCTCTCTCAGACTCATAAAGCACAATATTTAGTGTATTCGTGAAGGCTTTCACGGCCAGGATCTAATGGTTGTTGTGGGGTTTTCGGGCTCTTTGGCTGTGTTCTGAAGGTTGTTCTTCCTGACCCACAACAACTGCAATATTTAGGCTACACATTTGCATACATAACATACCTAGTAGTTACAATAGGAAACAAGAAAGATGAGAAAGAGAGAGTGACAATTACATTATTGTTCATCAGTTTCAATTGTTAGTCTAAGGCAGTGGCTCCCAATCTTGGATAACCCAGATGTTCTTGGACTGCAATTCCCAAAAGCCTTTACCACCAGCTGTGCTGGCTGGAATTTCTGGGAGATGCAATCCAAGAACACCTGGGTTACCAAGGTTGGGAAACACTGGTCTAAGACAACAGTGTTCCTCTTGTGTCTGCTTGGGTACCATTGTAAAATGAGTGTGAATGAAGCTACTAGCCTGTGGATGTCTGCAACTTTTACAATTGTCTTTACAGGAGGTCCATTAGTTTTAGCAAAATAAAGTAAAAGAGCAGATACAGTATCAGATTTTGACCAGGGAGGCACAGACCTAACTTATGGTCTCAGCCTTGGATGTTCTGTCATGAAAGTGGAAGTGTTTCTTGATTGCCTTCAAATGCATAACAACTTTTGGATCAGTCCTGAATATTTTTTTTAATCTTGAAGAAATCTGTCATTACAAATAGCATAAGACCAGACTTCCTGAGCCTATTCCATAGATCAATTGCCTTGACGTCAATAGTGACTGAAATTCTACTGCAGATTATTAAGCAGTCTGGGAGCATACAGAACAGGGTTGTTATTGTGCAGCATATGGGTTGCATGCAGTCTCCAGGGGCATTTTTGCAGAGGTGGTAACACCCCCAGACTCCAATGTTTAATAAAAAAAAGTTTGAAAACATACTCAGAAAGTCTTTTTCTGCACTTTGGTGTGTGCGGGAATCCCCCCCCCAATCAGCTTTTTGTTCTTTTCAAGAGATTGGGTGATTATGTTGATCAGCATGATTTTTGTTGTGGGTGTATTGTTGTGATAAGGGGGAGAAATGATCTGTCACTGTGATTGATGTGTGTTCTTAGGTGGTCTTTTGTGTGCAGTGATCACCGGTCCTGATCCCACAGCTATAAATACTCAGTTATCCCACAAACTGCACCAGAGCACAGAGTTCTGACTCCTATCCTCTGAAGATGCTGGCCACAGAGATTGGTGAAACGTTAGGAAGAAAAACCCTCAGAACTCAACCAAACAGCCCGAAAAACCTACAACAACCATTTATTGGTTGAGTTTCTTTTCTGGTGGATTGAGGGAATTTTGTAGAAAGATTAAGTTTTGATTTCAGCAAAACATTCCCAAAGTTTCCCATGTTATCCTTGTTGACTTTATGATGAAAGATGGGTTAAAATAAATCACTGAATTATAGAGTAATAGAAAAGTGAAGTTGGAAGGGGCCTACAAGGCCATCAAATCCACTCCCCTGCTGAATGCAGGGATACAATCAAAGCATATCTGCCAGGTGATTATCCAAGTTTTTCCTGAATGTCTCCACTGTTGGAGCACACACCAGCTCCTGAGGTAACTGGTTCCACTGTCGTACTGCTCTAACAGTTAGGAAGTTTTTCCTGATATTCAACCGAAATCTGGCTTCCTTTAACTTGAGCCCATTGTTGCGTGTCCTGCACTCTGGGATGATCGAGAACAGATCTTGTCCATCCTCTGTATGACAGCCTTTCAAATATTTGAAAAGTGCTGTCATATTACTCCTCAGCCTTCTTTTCTCAAAGCTAAATATGACCAAATCTTTCAGTCTTTCCACCTAGGGCCTGGTTTTCAGTCCCCTGATCATCCTTGTTGCCATCATCTGCAAGCATCCTTCTTAAAGTGGGGTATCCAGAACTGGACACAATACTCTAAATAAGGCCTCACTAGTGCTGAATAGAGGGGAGGACTAGTACCTCATGGGATTTGGAGACTATATTTCTGTTAATGCAGCCTAAAATAACAATTACCTTTTTTTGCAGATGCATCACGTTGTTGGTTCAGTGCATTCAGCTGGTTAGGACTTCTGGGAATTTAAATTCAACCGTTTCACTAATTTAGGACCTGTCCCCATATGGGTTGAAGGGCATATGTTATAAATGCAGTTAAGTGCCTTCAAATGCTGCCTTTAATCGTGGTTAAGTTTCCCGCCCATAGAAACTGGTAAGAGTGCTAAAGGAGAAGGAGGAGACAGAAAAGGGAGCTGAGCCCAGATGATTTGCTTAAAAAATACAAGCAGAACGTTTTTGACAGCAGTTTCTTAAAACAGATGATACAAATGGCACTAGGTTTCCAACAGCAACTGCACTCTAAGAATGCCCCAGTTGTAGCTACCGTATTTTTTGCTCCATAAGACGCACCTTTCCATAAGACGCACCAATTTTTTAGGAGAAGAAAACAGGAAAATATAATCTGTTTTCTTCGCTCCATAAGACGCACAGACTTTCCACCCCCCTGTTTTGTGGGGAAAAAGTGCGTCTTATGGTGCGAAAAATACGGTATGAAGACCTCTTCTCTGTGTGCCCCATCCTTCCGGGCCTCCCTTGGCGTTAGGCTCCTCAGCCTCACCTGCTGGCTCGCACGAGTGACACGGGTAGATCTTGGTGGGAGTAGGCGTTCCGCCAGGTATCGAGGCCCTAAACCGTTTAGGGCTGTATACGTGAGCATCAACACTTTGAAGTCGATGCGGAAGCGGATGGGCAGCCAATGCAATGCGGCCAGAGTGGGGGAAATATGCTGGTATTTTTTCACTCCACTGAGTAGTCTGGCCGCTGCATTCTGCACCACCTGAAGTTTCCGCAGCAGCCTCAAAGGCAGCCCCACGTAGAGCGCATTACAGTGGTCTAATCTTGAGATTACGAGCGCATGCACCAAGGTAGTGAGCACCCCAACATCGATGGATTTGGAAACTATACTTCTATTAATGCAGCCTAAAATAACATTTGCCTTTTTTATTGCCACATCATACTGTTGGCTCGTATTTAGCTTGTGATCTACGACAATTCCAAGATCCTTCTCACTCATAATTTTGCTGAGCCAGGTAATCTTGTAACTGTGCAATTGGTTTCTTTTTCTGTACTTACCATTCCATATAAGGTGCAGTACTTTGAACTTATCCCTGATGAATTTCATTCTGTTACTTTCAGCCCCGTGCTCCATCCTATCAAGGTCATTTTAAATTTTGTTTCTGTCTTCTAGGGTATTCGCTAATCTGCCCAATTTTTTATCATCTACGTATTTGACAAGCATCCCCTGCAATCCCTCATCCAAGTCATTATTAAAGATATTTACAGTAAGAGCACCAGGCCCAAGACTGAGCCTTGGGGTACCCCACTTATGACCTCCTCCCAATTAGAGAAGGATCCATTAATCATCACCCTCTGAGTACAATTCTGTAGCCAACTGTG